AGGGAACCCAGTTCAGACTGGAATTCAGTCTGGAACCCCGCTAGGTTGAGAACCGTACGATTACAAACTGAGGAAGACGGTCTAAGCTGAGCCATGTAGAGATCCCCCTTCAGTTTCTTATCTGTGGAATGAAGAGAATAATGACTCTCTCCTCACAGGGTGCTGGGAGTATGCATGCGCTGAAAAGCGCAGACTGCTCAATACTGTGTTAATAGCAGTCGTAAACCTCCGGTATTTGCCCAAGGGTATTAAAATCTAAGCAGACTAAACAAAAGATGTATGTTATCCTTGGTTTTGAGTGAAGAATCCTAAGACTAACCAACTCTACTGAAATTTTGCAGGAAATGACCCCTGCAAAAATGATTTTCTTTTAATATCCTCCAGACCCTGGTGATAGCCCTCTACAGATAAAACAACTACCCTTTGCATTGACATCACTGACATCTGCCTATTCAGCATGTCTTTAACTCTTTCCTCATGCTCTAAAGCACTAACGCATATATCTTCAATTCGAATTTTATTTATTACAACTCATTCTCGGGTACTTCGGACAAGCCATTTTGATGGGCCGCTGGTATGACACAGTAGTGCATCTCCTGTGGCTTACCTGCTTAAATGTCAGCCAGTTGAATTATACATTCATTTCCAAAGGCTGCTGCAAACTCCTGTTCCCTACAAAATCACTACCGTATTTACCGATGCCTGCCCCGACCTGCCGTCCTCCCCGCAGTGACTTTCACTCTCCCATTTTGGCCTCCTCTGTTTTATTGGAGACAGTTTTCCGGTTCCGCTGCATCTGCCTTTCTTAAGGGTTTGCCAGCTTTCACCGCTCTCTCATCTCTCTCCCAAAACTCCTAGGATAAACCACACGGTAACTCTGCGCCGTCTGTAGCTGTAGGTGATGCTCCACACCAACGCTTGCTATCAATCAATCTCCAGTCCCCACTTAGCCTCAAACCATTTTAGTGTTCACTGCTACAGCACAGTCAGTAACGTGCATCACAAGTTCCCAGCAGACTGCAGTGACACAGTAAATCCACACTGCAATTTTATGTGTAGCAAATAACACTAACCAGTGTAGTTTCTATTATCTGGGTGAAGTGCGCTACAGGGGAAGTTGTGCTTATTTATTTATTTTTTTATTTATATAATGAAAATGTTAGAATCCTGTTCTTTACTTCATCTGGGAAAATCAGATTATATTACCGTTTTGGTTTCTTGGTTTTTTTTTTTCTTTTTCCTTAATGAGCACGTCACCAACAAGTACCCCTAACTTACACTGGGCCATAAGCAAAAGAATAAGCCACAGATCTGCATACTAACTTCACGTTTAAAGAGGAAGTATTAGCGTGGCCGCCTTCTTAACAAGAAAGAAACAGCTCTTTTAATCTTGAGATAAATACTTGTATAAATATTTTCTTTAATTACAAATACAACGGTAACAGTTCAATCTTCCCAGGTACCACCTTTGAAACAAATACACTAGTTCTATAACAACAGCATTGTCAACCTCCCTAGTTATTGTCTCTATATCAAATGCCCATTTCTGGAGAAGTGGACTTATTTTTCTAAAGCCTATGGGGTTTTTTACACCACAGCCATTACCATAAGTGCATTAATGTCAGCATCACAGCAGCACCTTAAGACCAGACAGCATATGTGTGCACAGAAAAAGCAACAAACATACCTTGAGTTGCACCTGAATTGCCTGGCTGCTTTCCGTACGCTTTCAAAAATAGAAGTTGCAGAATCCCAACTTCAGTTGAATACTTACAATTCATTCTTCGTGCATCACGCAAATTAATTTCAGCCCTGCAGCTATGGTGGCTTTGCAATGTGTCGGAGCTTTAGAAAAACAGATATTCTCGCCCACTGTTTATAGTAGAGAAGTGTCCTTATTTTGTCTATTATAAAACCAAAAAGCGACAGAGCTAGATAAATACTAATTAAGGGTCCAGTCCTGTGACCAGCTGAACATACGTGCTTATTTTTGCGGAATACCTGCATGCACGTGCACGGCATCCCAAGCTAGGTTAGCACACGTAGCTGAATATAGTGGGAAAAGATCGTCTGGCTAAAAGGTGTCATTGTACACAATCACTTTGGAGAGTGCAGCTGCATAACACGGCGTCATACATGGAGATGCGTGAATTCCCACTTCAGTCACAATTTAAAGCGTCACCTTAGCATTTTTCCAATTTACCTTGAGTTACGCTTCCGACTGAACCACAACAGGTGTGCTGTACGAATAGATTCTGGTTTACGTTTTTAAACGGCCGACTGCCACGCCTTAACTACCTACCGCTCCCTCTGAAACAAACTTTGCAAAACCATACGTGGCTTCCCTCCGTGACACCCTAAACTAAACGGTTTTCCAACCGCTTTACCCAAAAAGCACGCAAACCCGCGGCCCAAGAGTGCGTTTCCACAACCGGTGTCAACGGTCCGCGCCCGCGAGGAAGCTGTATCGCTGCAATCCAGCCTCACCTTCGCGTGCTGCTTCTTTTCTCCACGGAACCGTTTGGAATAAGGAAAGCCGAAGACCTTCTCGCGGGGGTTACCGGCAGCAGCAAAACAGGGCTCTTTCCCAAGAGATGCAGAGGGGCTGCGGCGGCCCGCCCGCGGGGGAG